TGAGCTCCCAATTTATTGTTAATCCCTATTTAACATCCTCATCTTTCAGAAGTAATTCTACTAATATAAGGGTTGATTCAGTAACACACTCATCACACACACTGGCTCATAGCCAACACACAATGAAAAGGCAAGCACCTTTAGACATGACTCTCGTTATACAAATTACCTTGTGAATAAATGTGTTGAGAGTACGTGCAATTTGGTGACTTTTATTTGTTTGTTTTTTTACTTCTGTGAAACTGGTCATATGCTAAACTGACAAACTCAAACTATTCCCAGACTTCTGATGTTCCCGTCAAAATCGCTGTGACTCTAAGTGCCATGACTGAGTGAGCGATCAGTAAGCATAGTTTTTGGGAGGATTGAGAAGAATACAAAGCTACGATGGGATAATGTGTTGACAATTAATATAAAAGGAGGAGGTTAAAATGGAACAGGGAAAGGGGAGGAATTACGAACATGTAACTAATCATTTTTTGTATGCAGGTGGCATGGCTTTTCCTTGGCATAACTTTAGGATTGGCCTACACAGAAAATTCGGTGGCTTATTTTTAGTTACTGCTCTATCAAGGTCTATTGTTCAACTAGTCCTAAAGCCAAAAGTCATTCGCTGGCAGCCCACTGAACCTAATTGCCCTTACCAGTTAATGAGCCAATAAAATGAGTTAACTTATCTAGTTCTAGCCCACGTATATGCGCACACAATTGTCTTCAATGGAACACCAGAGTAACAGATTAGATTATCGTTTCTGTGTTGCATTAGCTGCTAGAAAGGCTTAGAGCTCAAATATTCACTTATGGTTTGCAAAGTAGTCAGACTTGATATTTCAAGTACTGACTGTTGTGATTTGAACATGCTTCCCCAGAAAGTTCAAGTGTAGAAACTTCATTATGCCCTAATGCAAGCAGTGTTGGGATGATGGGGCCCTAGTAGAGGTGTTTCAGGTGCATGAGGAGCTTTGACCTCATGCATGGGATTAATGCCATTCTAAAAAAGGGCTCTATACAGGAGTGTAAGGCTACAGTGGCCTTGATTGTACCAGCTACACTCCTAATCTGAGTGACAAACAAAAGGGTTCATGGAAGCGGTTCTCTCTCTCTTACCTCTCTGCTTTTACCAAGTCAGGACACTAGCATTCTTCCCCTCCGGAAGTATCGCAGCAACGGCCCCTCCGCCGCAGACGGCCAGTTGCCTTGACCTTGGACTTTCCCAGCCTCCACAGAAAAATGGGAAGTAACAATTGCTGTTCTTTATACAATTACGCGCCATTCTGTGGTAATTCCTGTTATAGGCAGCAACAAACAGAGATGAGACCCCTAACCGTGTTCGCCAGTGTCAACTATTCTACTGTTTTATTTCTGCTTTGTCCAACCTTCTCATCCAATGTTTTTATTCTGTTTTTACACTGGCATATATATTTGAACAGGTTAGCGCATAAATCTTTTTAAAAGCAGGGCACTCCTATTAATATATGATATATTAAGCTATCTTAAATAAATTCCCAGCAACGTAATAATAACAAAAATGTTTTATTTTTCGTTGTTCTTCTTTCCCTTTTTTTCTTCCTTCCTGCTCTAGCCGTCGCCCCTTCCTTCTTTACTTGCCTTCCTTCTGCAGCTAATAACATCTACAGGAGATCTTAAGAATAGCTCATTGCTAAGCATAGGAGAGCCATAAAGAGCAGAGGTATAAAAGGCAAGTCAGCAACAGGGCGTGGCAGACATGTAGGGCCTTTCACCATTCTTAAGATGAAAATTCAGGGGCGGATGCAGATGGCCCCGAATAGGAACCAGCTTCCAGTCTCAGCAACTCCCAGCGCAACCCCAATTAGCTGGGTGTAGGTGGTGCAACACATGCCAGGACTGGGGTCTACAAGAACAACAACATACCGGGAGGCCGACAGTCAGACCACTCGCGCAGTTGTCTCGCGCAGGTTTGTTCCATGCTGCGCGGAGCGCAGCTCACTATTCCTGCAACGAAGAAAAACAACGTCAAAAGCGAACGCGTTCTCGTGAGCATTGGCATTGCGACGGAGAGCACATGAAGATGGCGACAGATAGGTTCAGTCGAGTCAATTAGTTGAGGCTAAGGAGGCACTTACCGCTATCACCTTGGGGAATGTTGCTTCAGCACAGCACCAGAAAGGCGAACAATATTCGTAGAAAAACAACTGCGCAGATTGAGCTTGTACAAGAGAGCGCATAAGATTAATCGTGCGAGCGAGACAGAGCGAGAGGCCGGCTCCGCACAACGCAGAATGACAGAGTATGGAAAGCAACCACATCTGTCCACGTGACAGCTCTGCCGACGATAGGATCCTACGTGACAGGATATGCAGCAAACTATGCGTATCAAGCCGACTCAGTTCAGCCTCCTCTTACAGAGGGCGCCTAGCGCGGAAGAAAGAGTATCAGCAACAGTAGCGATGGCTCTCGACACAAAAAAGATGAAGCTGACCAGAAGGAAGAATATAGGCCGGCGGTACAAGAAACAAGACACACCACAAGAGAACATGCACAACAAGACGGCGCTAAGAGCGGAGAACAGGTAGCTGTCAAGAGATGGCCTCTGATTCTGGAACTAGCGGTGCCATGGAATGAATGTCTACAATAATGAGAAGACATCAATTCACTTCTGCGCGCTCCTGCCTCTTGGGCCGAGGCGTTCTGCGCTCGCGATATAGAGAGAAACCCAAGAGCGCGGACGAAGAGAAGCGGGGACCAAGTTGGAAAACACTCTCAAGGATATCATCCAGGAGAACACTGTCGACACGCTACATCCCGTCACTATCTAGAGCAGTGGCAAGGCCCTGGCCGAAGCATTCAAGAAGTGCGGGCGAGAAATCACGCACGAGACCCCCAGCCAACACCAACAGTGAGTTGGCTCAATCGAAGCACAGAGCGCGATACTCTCAATGTACAGCCATCAACTAGCTAGATACAACTCAAGTTCTGCACTCGAGAAGCGTCACAAGTAAATTCTGTAAAAGGCAGCCAGCCACGATGAATCAATGGGTCGCGGCGGAGTTTTCCACAGCCTCCGCCGCAACAAAGGGCCCTGCGAGAAAGGCGCCACGTCAGACCTACACAGGGCAGATCGTCTTCAGCAGAAACTCTACAAGGCCAGAAGAGAGTGGAGGCCAAGAGCCCGAGGACGTCTTACATTATATTCTCGATGCGTGGCCAACCAAAGAAAAGTAAGCCGAGCCTAAATTGGTATCTTTCCTTCATACATCTCTTCCCGTTTGACCGCGTTAATTATTGCTCTGGCTTTGGCGTTTTTTTTTTGGCGCAGACGGAGTCTCGCTTGTCCCAAAGCTGGGGTGCGTGGCGGCATCTTGGCTCACTCGCAAACTCCGCCTCCCTGGGTCTCACGGCCATTCTCTCTGCCTCAGCCTCCCGGGTGCCTGGACTACAGGCACCACGCACATCGCCGGCGCGCCCGCTTAATTTTTTGGTATTTTTTAGTAAGAGCGGTTTTCCACACGTCGTCTCGATCTTCCCACCTTGTGCTCCGCACCGCCTCGGCTCCCAAAGGTGCTGGGATTACAGGCATGACCACCGCCGCCCGGCCCCGACAGTTTAAATTGATGAAAGAGCACGAACTTTGCTGCAATAGACAAATTCTCTTTGTTTTTGTTTTTTTTTTTGAGAAGATGGAGTTTTGCCCTTTCACCCAGGCTGGAGTGCAGTGGCGCGATCTCGGCTCACTGCAACCTCTGCCCCCGAGGTTCAAGTGATTCTCCTGCCTCAGCCTCCTGAGCAGCTGGGATTATAGGCGCCCACCACCACGCCCAGCTAATTTTTGTATTTTTAGTAGACAGAGTTGCGCCATGTTGGCCAGGCTGGTCTCGAACTCCTGACCTCAGGTGATCCACCCACCTTGGCCTCCCAAAGTGCTAGGATTACAGGCGTGAGCCACCACATCCGGCCTCAAATAGACCAATTCTGAATTGGTAATTGTTATCTCTGGGTCTTATATTAATCCTCCACTCACCATGCCCCTGAACTTCCCAAAACCCCAGAACCCTGTATTCCTCTAGGCCTTCACTGGCCTGGGACACTCTGCCCTCAGTACCATTTGTGCCCTGGCAGGGCCATTTCATCAGCATTGGCCTGGTACTCTCGGCATTCTTTTTATTGACACTGTAGTTGGTCAGATGCATGAACTTATTGCCAAGGCTCTTCATGGAGGAGAATACCTGGAAGCAAAAAAAAGCGAGGTAAGATGGTGACAGAGCAGATGGAGAAGGGGGCCAAACATTTCCCCAAATACTGAAGAGGTGAAGAACAAGTACACAGATCTTTTCAACAGCCACAAGAGCCCTGAGAAGTGTGTCTGTTGCCAAGTTCCTGAAAACCACAGCTAAACTCACATCTCTTTATCCCACCTCAGTCCCGTATGCAGGAAGATATTCCCTAACGAAGAAGAGAGACCTCCTAATCCCATTTCCTGTGCCTTCTCCCTTGCTAACAAAACTAAAAAATATTTGTTATTTTCCTGTTTGGTGTCTTCTAGTTTCCCTCCCTCTGAGGAAAACAATCCCCAATATTGTCAGAGAATACCTCACCACTGTCACATACTGCAACTGCAAAGCGGACCAGTCCATCCGAAAAGGTAAATCCGCAGAGGATCGTAGGAGGTGACGTAAACATAGATCCGCAGGTCAAACTTGCTGCCGCTGAATGGGTAGGGTTTGTGTAGATACCTACATAAAACAAAGGCCAGCTTCTCATCCAGCCACATGAATGGGGCTCAGTGGGAAACCAAGCCACAGAAAAAGCCAGCTAACAGTCCCCAAGATAAAGACCTAGAAACCTTGGCTAAGGAAGCTCTTTGGCTGGGAGAACAAAGGGCAGAAGAACATTGTAAGAAGGGAACCTCGAGGCCAAGGAGGTGGGAGGATGGGGTAAGGGATATATGCTACAAGCTCACCTCTGTACCAGGAGGGGCCTTCGCTTAGGGAGCTGACTCCACTTATGAATAACCTGGATGCCAATGCCTCGAGCTGATGCTGGCTAGGAAGCAGACGGAGTGAGATTTGTTCCAGGTCCAAATACCTGTTGTTCCCACTCAGACCATAGTCTCCTGCCCACTGTGATTCACTCACTGGCTTCACAATCCACTTTTGGCGGCTGCTGCTCTCCCACGCTTTGCGCAGGAGCTTGGCGTCCTGGGGCAGGATAAAGGACTGGGGGAAGAAACTGAACTCCTTCTTGCCAAAGCGGCTCTGCATGCGTGACAGGTTCCGCCATAGCCGGTCCTTCCTCCCAATCTGGAATGAGCCTGGGAAATGGTTTAGCTACAAAAGGAAAAAGGGTGAGTGCAGGAAGAGGGCAGAAGTGAGGCCATGAGGAAGATGACAAGACTCACTCTACCATTCCAACTTCTTTAGCAGCACTCCAAGCTGTTGCTCCATCTTACTATCACCACCCTAATGGTCCTTAAGTATCCAACTGCAGAGCACTCACCAAAAGATGATTAAAACACAGATAAAACAGAGTAACGTAAGACAGACATGATATTCACCTTAAGTGCAAAGAAAAAGCTATTACACCTTTTCCATGAAACCCTATGGGATGAGGACAGAAAAGCATTTCACCTTTAGTAAGTCTGGGGGCAAGGGACTCATTCATTCCAACGTGAGACCAGAAGTCCTCTTTACACATATTCAGCTTGGGAGAATGGAATGTGCAGTGGTCATAGGGAAACATAATAAACAGAAAACAGACAGTCTAACTCAAGACACTAAATCAGAGGAAAAAGTGCCTTTGAGAAGCTGCAACTGCAGGATTTCAGAGCTACACCCTCCTATGAGGTTGGATTTCAGGAGAGGGACTCCGCTGCCCCCACATAGCAAGAAGCTCCAAAATACTGCAGCTGAACTGGAGATGTACGTGATCCACTGGAGTCTCTCACTGTACCCCCATCCTGTACTTTCTCCTCTGTACAGCTTCCTGACTTCTCCATGGTCATCATCCTCTTCCCGCCCCCTACCCCCTACCCACATCATCACCCTCCTCTTGGCCTAGTCCAAAGTCCAGGGAAACAGCTCCTCAGAAAGGGCCCCTACCTTCTGATGCTCTCGAATGGATCGGAAACTAGGAGACTTCATGTGGTGACCCCAACAGCCCAGCCAGTCATCGTTTCCTATGGGAGGTACATCAGGAATCAGCCTTGCTAACAGCCCAGTCCAGGGACAGAGAAAGGCCCAGAGACCCCAGAACTGGGCACAGCTCCCAGACTTGGTTTTCAAAGAGTTGCTATGGAGCTGTCCTACATGAGGCCCTGGGGCCAGGGACAGAACAATGGCCCTTTGTCTCTCAATTCTGAACAACAGGCTTAGCCCAGGATTTCAGAGCTATACCCTCCTATAAGACTGGATTTCAGGAGAGGGCCCCAGCTGCCCCTACATAGGCACGAGGTGTCTAGAGCTCTCCCCCTACTCAAAGCCCATCTATTTGGGGCAAAAAGGACAGGTTCACAGTAAGGCAAGCAACTCACTTTTGCTGATTTTGAAGTGGGACCGTCCAATGGTCTGCTTGACAATGTTGGGGGTCACTGTGCTCATCTTCCACCGGAGCAACTTCCTCTGCTCCCAGGGAAGTTTCTCCACTGGGAAGAATGCAAGGGGTGTGGGGATGGGGGGTGGAGAAGAGCAGAGAGTCATGATGAGAAGACAAAAAAGATGGTATGGCTGCCCATTTTTCCCTGGGCAGGCAAGTCACTATTGCTCCAGATCAGGGTTTCAGAGGAGCACACTTTGGGAAGGAAGAGGGGCTGTGCAGGAATGAGGAACAAAGAAAGGGAAGACTGAAAGGGAAAAGCAGCAAGGTTGGAGAGCATGAACTCAGCATGACATGGCAAGGCTGAAAAGGGTCAGCTAAAGGACAGACAAGAAAAAGGTTGCATTAGACCTACGACCATGTGGGGAACTGAGCACAGTTCTGGAAACCCTCTCCCACCTACTGCCACCTCCTCCCAACTTAGTTCTCAACCTTCTCCCGGGGGCTCTTCTGGGGTTTGACACTTGGCCAGGTTTACCTCTCTCATCCCGAGTGCCAAAATAGATGGTAGGGGGAACGTTGGGAAAGAGACTGTAGATGAGGGCTGGTCGGACAACTTTCTCATGATTGGAAAGGGGTTTGGTCAGAATTTCCATACAGCTTCTAAGACGAAAAACAAACACGGACTAGAGAAAGGGAAAAAGCAACAGCCCTGAAGTGTTGTTACTATGATGTACGATTTCTTTCCAAGTGCTGTCTTTTAACTTGTGATTCTAAAAAGCCAGGTGCTCAATAATTAATAATTATTTTATACATATTAATCCATAAGGTACTAGGCTAACCTACATATAACCACACCATTAAATGTCACCTAAAGACAAGGTTTTCCAATACTTCATTCTGCAATACAGCTCCAAAATTTTCTGTGACAAGACATTGTCTGGGAAAGTCCCTGACAGGAGTGGTTCTGAGGGGAAATGAATGTGGGTGGATACTAGTAGAAGAATGTGCTATGCTAAGACGAATAAATAAATGAGGGAAGAAAAGAATGATGTGAAAATTACAAAGGAGGAAAACCAAAAAAGATCTGAGGTGTAGAGACTTTTAAATAGAAAAAGGGGAAAAAGCAATAGAAAGAAAAGAAACAGTGATACTTCTAGTTCATTTTATATTTAGGTTTCATCTAAAGATTCATGGACTGTTAGTGCTTGTCTCCATTTTGGAAGTGATTTGTGACACTGGAATTTTAGGTAACAGTATGGGAACAAAGATCTGGATGTAACGAAGAGATGTGGCTGATCTGGGGCCATGGGGTTCCCTACTGTTATTCCAACAAGGGCTTGGCCAAGGCTGTCTCAAGGGGTGTCAACATAGCAGACATATCAACTACCTGTCAGGTATAAGCTGACAGACTCAGATCATTCCTTTAACTAGCACTGAAAAATGGAGAAAATAGCTACTACTCTTTACAATTTAGATAATATAATCCACGAATATTATTATAACATTAATTTTTAGTTTAAAAAAGCCACTTTACCTGTTATTATTTTCAGCATGACAGAAATAGGCACTGTACATGAAACATTTCAGTGTTTTAAATCTTAAAGATTTTTAATGAATTTTAGGGAATCAAGTTAAATACTAATTCCCAATGAAAAATTCCTATTAATTCAACTCTATTCCTCATTTTCAAAATTTTTTCTTCAAAGGCTTTTGGTTTACTGAGTAGAGAATTTAAGATTGTTGAAGTCAATAAGAATGAGTTAAAATTTAAAAACAAAGATAGAGGCCGGGGGCAGTGGCTCACGCCTATAATCCCAGCACTTTGGGAGGCCGAGGCAGGCGGATCACCCGAGGTTGGGAGTTTGAGACAAGCCTGACCAACATGGGGTAACCCCCATCTCTACTAAAAATACAAAATTAGCCAGGCATAGTGGTGCATGCCTGTAGTCCCAAATACTCGGGAGGCTGAGGCAGGAGAATGGCTTGAACCCGGGAGGCAGAGGTTGTGATGAGCCGAGATCACGCCATTGCACTCTAGCCTGGGCAACGAGAGCAAAACTCCATCTCAAAAAAAAAAAAAAAAAAAAGATAGAAACATAAAACGGTACAGTCACTCTGGAAAACAGTTTTGGCAGTTTCTTAAAAAACTAAACGTGCAATCATCATACAACCTAGTAATTGCACTCCTGGGCATTCATCCCAGAGAGATGAAGACTTATATTCACACAAAAATACGTACATGATTATTTATAGCAGCTTTATTCATAAGAGCCAAAAGCTGAAAACAACCCAAATATCCTTCAACAGGTGTATGGTTAAACAAACTGTGGTACATCCATACCACAGAACACTATCCAGCAATAAAAAAGAATGAGAACTATTGATACATGCAACAACCCAGGTCAATCTCCAAAGAATATGCTGAGTGAAAAAATGTCAATGTCAAAAGGTGACATACTGCTGTCACTCTATCTGGGTAACATTCTTGAAATGACAAAAAGGAGAACTAGTGGTTGCCAGGGGATTAAGGAGGGAATGGGAGTAGGAGGGAAGTAGGTGTAGCTATAAGGGTAGCAGGAGGAGGAATTCCTACAGTGATGACAACATTCTGTATCTTTTTTTTTTTTTTGAGACAGTCTTGCCTCTTGTCACCCAGGCTGGGGTGCAGTGGCGCGATCTCAGCTCACTGCAACCTCTGCCTCCCAGGTTCATGTGATTCTCCTGCCTCAGCCTCCCGAGTAGCTGGGATTACAGGTGCCCACCATCATGCCCAGCCAATTTTTGTATTTTTAGAAGATGTTGTATTTTAGTAAAACACAGGGTTTCACCATGTTGGCCAGGTTGGTCTCAAACTCCTGACTTCAACTGATCTACTTGCCTCAGCCTCCCAAAGTGCTGGGGTTACAGGCGTGAGCCACTGTGCCCAGCAAAATGTTCCATATCTTGACTCTAACAATGTTAACAACATCCCAATTGTACTATATTGTACTTCTACAAGATGTTACCCAATGGGGGAAACTGAGTAGAGAGTACAGGGGACCTCTCTGCATTCTTTCTTACAACTGTATGTGAAATCTATAATTATCTCAATATCACAAGCTTAATTTAAAAACAAACAAAAAACCCTTGTGAGTCGTCTCACAAGAGTCCTAAACTTCTCCTCAAGAGACCTGGCTTCTAGTCTAGCCATGCTAGAAACTATGACCTTGGAACAGCTACTTCACTTCTCTGGTCCTCAATATTTACGCTGGACTTGATGGCTTCCATCTCTAAAATTACATGATTCTTAGAGCACGACAGGAAATGCAGTGAAAATATTGTTGTGTAAAGAAACAGGTAGTGTTTCCAATGATTTTTCTGTTTTTCAGTGGTTGCCAAATTTTCCATAATAAATATACAAATACTTCATAATAGAGAAAAAATAAGATTTTAGCAATCTAAAAGTATTTTAGTCATCTTTAAAATGCAGAGTGGTTTGGAATTCATCTATCTCCATTTTTGGTCAGGTGCAGTGGCTCACACCCCTAATCTCAGTGCTTTGGGAGGCTACAGCAAGAGGATCACTTGAGACCAGAGTTCAAGACCAGCCTGGGTAATATAATGAGACCTTCCCCCACAACTCTACAAAAAAATTTTTTTTTAATTAGCTGGGTGTGGTGGGTGGTCCTATAGTCCCAGCTGTTCAGGGGGCTGAGGCAGGAGGATTGCTTGAGCCCAGGAGTTCGAGGTTACAGTAAGCTATGATGGATCCACTGCACTCTAGCCTGGGCAACACAGCAAGACTCTGACTCTAAAAAATAAAAATATGTATTTCCATTTTCTTGAAAATTATGTTTAAGCCTCATATAGAGAAGAAGTTATGTGCAATTTGTAAAAGTTAATTAATCAATGAGCAAATGATTAACAAACATCTTTTGTGAATTTTATCTTATATATCAGGAAGGCTAAAGGGCTGTGTAGCAGTCCTGAAGTAGGCCCTTAAGTGTAAAAAAAGTAGGACTCCAAATCAATTACATGTCAAATATCTTTCTCCTATGAAGAGTGGAGGTACTTAATCAACAACCAATATATATAACCCGAAGTAGTTTTGCTTTTCTGGAAGGAGGATGGGTTGGGCTGAAAGTGACAACTTATGCATCAGACTCAGGGTGCCCGTGATGGGATTCACAGAGAATCCCAGTTCTCGCTCCCACTTTCCAAACACCTCTGTCTCCACCTTACAGGTTAAGGGCTCTAAAATTGGTGTGCTGCTGCCACACCATCACATTTCACAGAGATGTAGCCCGTCTTGTCCATGCTAAACAAGGCAGAGAAGGCTCCCTTTATTCCTAGCTTCATCTAAGGCAGGGTTGATGCAAAGAAAAGCAACCCGACTCTGGGTGCTCCATATATTGGTCAAGCCCAATGATATACAGCTAGTTTTTCATTAAAAATTAGGGCCAGGTGCAGTGGCTCATCCCTATAATCCCAGCACTTTGGGAGGCCAACGATCACAGGTGTGCGCCACCATACCCAGCTAATTGTTTCTATTTTTAGTAGAGATGGGGTTTCACCATGTTAGCCAGCCTGGTCTCTAACTCCTGGCCTCAAGTGATCCACCCATCTTAGCCTCCCAAAGTGTTAGGATTATAGGCATAAGCCACTGTGCCCAGTCCATGATACTGTTTTTGTTGTTGTTGTTTTGTTTTTGAGACAGTCTCAATCCATAACCCAGGCTGGAGTGCAGCAGCGTGACCTCAGCTCACTGCAACCTCCACCTCCCAGGTTCAAGTGATTCTCGTGCCCCAGCCTCCCAAGCAGCCGGGATTACAGGTGTGCACCACCATGCCTTGCTGATTTTTATATTTTTAGTAGAGACAGGGTTTTGCCATGTTGGCCAGGCTAGTCTCGAACTCCTGACCTCAGGTGATCCGTCTGCCTCAGCCTCCCAAAGTGCTGGGGTTACAGGTGTGAGCCACTGCGCCTGGCCCATGATACTGTTTTTAGGCCCCACAGATGAGATGTGCTTCTGGCCCCCCATTACTCCCTGTTCAAAAACTAAAGTCGCAAACACAAAAATTTGGTAAAAATGCATTAGAGTTCTTAAGGCCATTAATGACTTGAGTAGTTAATCTCTTTATAATCTTTAAGAGACAAAAGATGAGCATCTAACAATGATCTATACAGCCACACTTACCTAGAGATCACGGCCACCGATTCGCTAGGGGTGACAGCACTTAATGAGGAGCACTCTGAGTCTCCTAGAGGAAGGAAGAACAGAGAAATTCTGACTAGAAAAGGCTGCAGCACAAGCTTACCAAGCCTAGGCAACTCTTCCTTGAATATCCTGGGCTCAACCCTTCTTGGGGAGCCACAAGCACCACCCTGCTGCTTTGCCTTCCTCAACAGAAGCAAGGGGAAGGTAAGACCAGTGGGACAGGAGGACTAGAGACCAAAGTCCTCTAGAAGGCACTACCTCCCTCTTAAGAACCCCAAACAAATGACTGATGTAGGTAATGTGAGTCAAGGACCTAGTACATAATTGTTAGCCCCCTGCCCAAAATGTCATAACCAACTCCTAGTTGGAAGTGAAAGAGTTCCCTACTCACCCTCCTCCTCTTCATTCTCATCATGGCTACAACAGTCTTCCAAACCATCTACTAGTTCTTCTTCTGTATCTTCAGTCTCAGCCTGATCTGGCTGGAGGTCAGTAGCTGAACTAAAAGAAAGAATCATGCCCCCAGCCTAGTCAACTCCATCAAAGAGGTCACAGTTAGATTCTCATTCCTTCATCATCTCCCAGTATTTGCCCCTTCTCCATTACCAGTCTGCTAAGTCTTGCCTGGACCTCACAACTCATTTCTCTTGTCTTCAAAGCTTAGGTCTAGGCATAGCTCCTCAACCTCACATCTCCCATTCTGCAAAGAGGCACTATGTTTTCCATTTCTTTGGTGTCCCTCATAGCATATAAGTACAACATTCTACATCTAAAAAACCATCAATGGGTATCTGGTAATTGACTTGAAATGTCCCTAGGCCACTCTCTGGGAACTCAGAAGAAGGCCTTAGTGGACCAAGTTTCCAGGAAAATAACAAAACACAAGAGAAGGAGCCAACTATGTGCGTGCCCTAACTATAAATGGCTGTCATGCCAAGAATGTCTGAAAACCTGATTTGGTTTGGAAAAAGTAGGAAAGTCACAGGCTTCAACACTTGGTGTTCACAATTCTTATTTCTCTCCTGGTTTTTACTTAAAATAGGGGTTGACGAACTCTTTCTCTAAAGGACCAGAAAGTAAATATTTTTATTTGCAGGCCAGTCAGTTTATCACAACTACTCAGCTCTACCATTGTAACAAGAAAGCAGCCACAGACAACTGCAAATGAATGGACAAGGCTGCATTACAATAAAACTTTATTTACAAAAGCAGGCAACAAGCAAGATTTGGTCTGCAAGCTGTAGTTTCCCAACCCTTGCCCTGAAGTGAAAACCAAAAATTCTAGGGCAGCTAAAAAATAAAACCTTCAGAGGTACAGGGTCAATGCCATCCCAAATTATGGTATATACATTCTACTGCTCTAAATGAACCAAAAACATTATCCAACGTACCTAATATCCCTATCAGATGAGTCCAGCTCCCTGGCCTCCTCAGGTCTCTCCTTCTCAGACTGGCCCAGCTGGATGGAAGAGAGGCGGGTGGCCACGTTGGCTATGCCAAGAGTTTGAGGAGAAGGGGGACCTGGAGCTTTGTCTTCTCCAAATGGTGGGGGGTCAATTACAGATTCACAGGCAGGGCTGTGATTGAGCCCACTGGCATGTGAGGCAAGGAGGTGAATGCTGATACGTTTGGTACAGAAGACTGTATTGTCCAACCCCAAGGTATCTGAGGCACCAGGGAGGACCCGACCAACCAATCCAGCATCCTCCTGAGGAAACTGCTGATTTACCGCAGGAGGTTTCCACCGCCTGCTCCTGTTGAGGACGTTCCACTGGAAGCTGGGGTTCAGGAAACTGGACTGTTCAAACTGGCAGCCTTGCCTCGGCATCTTCTCAAAGCCTCTTGCAGTCAATTTCCTTACGGCCTCAGTGAACCGAATCTCCTTAGTTGGGGCCTGGGAATCAGAGTTGTCATCCAGAGCACAGGAAAGTGGCTCTTCCCTCATGGCTAAGTTATTCCGGTTATACCAGGAAGAGGCAACACTGGTGGTGGATGTGTCATGGGGGTTAGGGGTAGACAAGGCGATATGGGCACTGGCATCAGCTAGGACACTGCCAATGCTTTTGGGCACCTTATGGTCAACAGGCTGCGGTGCACAGTCTCCAGTACCCCCTGAATGATGCCAGGAGACAGGCTGGATCTTGGGTGGCGATACTGGCTTCAGGCCCTCTGTGGTCTGCAATAAAGGCACTTGCGTGCTATTTGGCCGCATGAAGGAATTATTATTCAGCATGGGCTTATAGGAGGAAGAGAGTGGAGATGGGATCTTCCCTGAGATGGCAGATGCCAGGCTTTTCCCTGAAGGGTTTTCCCCAGCCGCTGCCAAGCAGAGGTATGGTTCTGTGGATGAGGAGGCCATGGGCTGGGTCATGGGGAAGACCATGGAAGAAGTGGCCTTGTCGGCAGTGAGACTGACAGGGAGGCTCTTTTGAGGGAGAGAAAAAGGGCTTTTTTCTGATGGGCTCGAACGCAAGCAGAAAGACTCCAGTTGCTGGTAGGGTTTGTGCCTATAGCTGGAGCGGCGGTATAGGAGGGTGCTGTTGAACAAGTCCGGGAGAGAGTGTAGGTAACAGGAACTGCTGTGGCCTGCAATGACAGCCGTGGTCCCAGAGCTACATAAAGTGCTAGGGCAAAAGAAATATGCTGGCTGGGGTGGGATGCCCAAGAGGGCTGGGCCCAACCCTGCTGACAGTGTCTCCACTTGCTTCTTTTCCAGCTTCCAGATTGGCTTCACTTGCTGATGGGCCTGAGGCCAGACTTTGCCCTCCGAGGGTTTCTCAGGTGGCGTGGTAGACACTGTGCCTGAGGGACCACTCTGCTTGAAGCTGTTTTTCTGGCGGAGGCCAATACTGTAGTGCTCTGCTCCTGCTGAGGCCATGAGGGGCCCACATCATGGCCACACGGTCTCATGGCCTGGCTCAGGTAAGGTGCCACACACCTCCGGTAGTAGCAGCTGCATCCTTGAAGTCCGTCAGTCTGAACGGGAGAGAAATGATAGGAAATGTTACAGCGCCAGGAGGACGGATACCATGCTACAGTGGTCCTCAGGTAAGCAGTACAGTCCCACTTCCGCATTTTTGGGCAACCAGTCTTGGTCGTCATTTGGGGCCCTGGGGATTTCCAGGGAGCTTCCAGTGGTCTTCCTATTGCCCTCATATGATCAAAGTTGGCTTCGTAAGGACTAAGACACTGAGGTGCCACCACCACTGTGAGGCCATTCATGAGTCCGCACTCTGTCACTCAGAAAGTTTTTCTCTCTCTCCAACAAAAAATACATCTTTCTGCCTCACCGCCCACAACTTTCCACGAGGGGCTACCTTCCCTCACCCAAAACCAGTGTGGCTAGGAATAAAGCAAATGTGGAGAGAGAAGAGGATCTTCCTTCTCATCAATCAATTCTGAAAGATGAAAGATTATTCGAGTCCAGGTGAGACAGCTCACACCTGTAATCTCAGCTTGAGCCCAGGAGTTCAAGACCAGCCTGCCCAATATGGCAAAACCCCATCACTACAAAAAATTAGCTAGGCATGGTGGCATGCACCTGAAGTCTCAGCTACTAGGGAGGCTGACATGGGAGGATCGCTTGAGCCTGGGAGGTGGAGGTTGCAGCGAGCCGAGATGGTGCCATGTACTCCAGCATGGGCAACAGAGTGAGACCCCATCTTAGAAAAAAAAAGGTGATCTGAAAAACTCGCTTTACATCTACTGCTCCCTAAATCAACTCAGCTGCCTCTGATTTAGTCTGCTTTTCACGGTTAAGTAGGACAAGTTCAGATAGGAGAACAGAATTCCCTTGCTGACCCCGGAGTTTATTCTGGAGCTGAGACAGCAATTTCATCTCTTGCTAACTATACAGGCTTAAATTCCATCCTGTGTGTTGGTGGGAAAAGGAAGAAAGAAAATTGAACCAAACACCAGCATTATTTTTACTTAAAGTGACTTTATTTCCAGCAGCCATACTGGGACAGGAGAGTTCAGGGAGTAAGAAGAGGACAGAAGCTTTCTTCACTCCAAAGTCCGGGCTTAAGTTTGGGCTTATCTCAGGGAGGAAGAGCCTGTCTCTTGCATCTTCTCAATCAGTGTTTGCTTTAATACAAAACCTCTAAGCCAGCCTTCTGGGTCTCAAACTGTCTGTTCAGCATGGTCACTTACTTTCTAAATCAAATTCACAAAATATTCTCCAATTTTCACAACTGTAGGGAAAAGTAGGCCTGCTTTCATGGCAGCACCTGGGGGGAAATAACGAAAACTGTAAAAAGTCATTCGTGGCCAGGCACAGTGGCTCACGCCTGTAATGCCAGCACTTTGGGAGGCTGAGACGGGCAGATCACTTGAGCTCAGGAGTCTGAGACCAGACTGGGCAACATGGCAAAACCCCATCTCTACAAAAAAATACAAAAATCAGCCAGGTGTGGCACATGCCTGTGGTCCCAGCTACCTGGGAAGCTGAGGCATGAAAAACCTTAAGCATGCAAGGTGGAAGTTGCAGCAAGCCAAGATAGCACCACTGCTCTCCAGCCTGGGTGACAGGGTGAGACCCTGTTTCACAAAAAAAAAAAAAAAAGGTTGGGTGCGGTGGCTCACGCCTGTAATCTCAACACTTTGGGAGGCCAAGGCAGGTGGATCACAAGGTCAGGAGTTCAAGACCAGCCTGGCCAGCATGGTGAAACCCTGTCTCTACTAAAAATATAAAAATTAGCCAGGCGTAGAGGCGGGCGCCTGTAATCCCAGCTACTTGGGAGGCTGAGGCAGGAAAATCGCTTGAACTCGGGAGGCGGAGGTTGCAGTGAGCTGAGATTGCACCACTGCACTCCAGCCTGGGCGACAGAGTGAGACTCTGTCTCAAAAAAAAAGAAGTAGTCATTTGTCTGGGGTAATTCTGAAAGGAATCCTGACATCCTCATCAAGTGTTGTCAGAGTAGCTAGAGGGAAGGAATTAGAGAGGTTTTGTTTTGTTTTGAGACAGGGTCTTGCTCTGTCACCCAAACTGGAATGCAGTGGCGCAAACATGGCTTACTGCAGCCTCTGACTCCTGGACTCAAATGATCTTCCCCTTTCAGCCTCCTAAATAGCTGGGACCACAGGCATGCACCACCACACACAGTTGATTTTTTTTGTTATTGTTAAGATAGGGAGTGGCAGTATCTCACTATGCTGCCCAGGCTGGTCTCAACTCCTGGCCTCAAGTGATCCTCCCATCTCAGCCTCCCCATAAACTGGGATTACAAGCCTGTGCCACTGAACCCAGCCCTGAGAGAGATGGTTTTTTCACTTAAGTAATATTTAAAACACAAAAATTGAGAGACTACCTTGTATTTTGATTAACAGAGTAATGGCCAAGGAAGATCTAAGATTCCTGTCTACAGCTACGAATGAATACAACCAACAGACAGACTGCAGAAGCCACGGGATGTCGCCCTCTTTACCTGCAAAGGCTGACCTACATGGACTCTTTCTCAAGGAGAGTACAAAAAATCACAACGCAGCACTGCCAATATTCAAAATGATAGTGGGCTAAGAACAGCATAAATGCTAAAACTGGATTTTGAAGCCAGTTACCTCAAAATGAGGTGACAGAAAATAGACCACCACACAAGTCCAAACTATGGAAATACCGTGCTTGGAACAATTACAGAGTTTGCTTATGGTAGAGAAGCATAGAGACAAATGGAAAAGTCAAATCCTGCCAATCACTTCACAAGACTACACGCACACATGCATGTGTATTATGTACACTCAACATATTCACAAACCCTCACTTAGTCCTCTTTCAGGAATCCACATCTTCCCCACCAATGCAACACAACAGACATACCAAAGTGATAGGAGAATGCCTAAGGAAATGAAAACTCAGGCTGGTCCCCCTGAAAAACAGCCCCACTATTGATTCCCACGTGCATCAAGCTAGCTCAGCTCTTCATTCCCTTACAAGTGCTGTCCCTGGAGCCCTTTCTTCTTCTTCACCCAACTTAAAAAAATCAGCTGCAACATGACCTAGGCAGTCTTCTCTGACTCCTGAGTTTGAACAGGATGCCTCACCTCTCTGCATGCCACCATCACTGCTCACAGAACATTAGCTTCAATAATGAACTAACTCATCAGACTAGGAGCAAGGAGCACATTCTCCTCCAGCTGATGTCCCCAACACAGTAACTGATACACAGGAAGTGCTCAATATTCTGTTGAGTAAACAAACTGGAAAAGCACAGTAAATGAAGGGGAAACAAACTCGAGTACTAGTTTGGGCACCTAATGAATGTCTGGTACCATGCTAGGCATTTTATTCATATTATTTCATTTAATCCTAAAAAAACCCTTACATTCACTTTACTGATGATGAATCCAAGACTTAGAAAAGTTAAGTAACTTTTCTATAATTAAATAACCAATAAGTAGTAATGCCTAGATTAAAACTCAAATCTGTCTGAGTCTACAGTGCCTATTAAATGGAATGAAACACATACTTAGACTCTATCCCCTCCATTATCTCTAATCTTTAGGTACGAGACAAAAGCCAGGCTGGAAACACTCCTCCATGTTTATACCAAGGCCCTTTGTGGAAAATCTCTAAAAGCACATCACTGACTTTTCATCAACACCACAGCCGATCAGTCCCCCTCTCCCTTGTAGCCACAGGCACCCACTGCACAACACTTCCTTTTGCACACACTGCTCAATGTTTGCCTTGCTACATCCCACCACATGAACCCTCAGTGCCAAACACAAGAACACAAGTAGCCCAACACCTAGCTGGTTTGGCTTTTAATCCAAAAGAGGAAGAGGGAGGCCAAGAATACACGCCTACCCTCCTCAGAAGCTGCAGGTGGCCTGCTCCCAGATAAAGTGTTAAACAACACACCTGGGCAGGTACTAGAGTAGCGTGAATTCTCTTCTCTCTAAGGTATTCCAGATCTCATATCTCTGCAATAGTCATTTCCCACTTCCTGTCTCCTCTCATAGTCCCTATATGGTTTGCATTTGTGTCCCCACCAAATCTCATGTTGAGTTGTAATCCCCAATGTTGGAGGAGGTGACTGGATCATGGAGGCGGATTTCCCCCTTGCTGTTCTCATGATAGTGAGTTCTCGTGAGATCTGGTTGTTTAAAAGTGTATAGCACTGCCCCACTTTCTCTCTCTCCTGCTCCGGCCATGTGAAGACATGCGTGCTTCCCCTTTCACCACGACTAAATGTTTCCTGAGGCCTCTGCAGCCATGCTACCCATACAGCCTGCAGAACCATGAGCCAATTAAACCTCTTTTCTTTATAAATCACCCAGTCTCAGGTATTTATTTATAGCAGTACTAGAATGAATACAGTCCTCACAATGTGTAGTATAGCAAGTTGGAGAAGGGCCACCTGTCTTCCTAAAGAAATATGTCTGGACTCAAGGGCCAACAAGCAGGTGAGAGGACGTTTCTGTAACTCTCTTTCTGGGAAATAGTTCCAAAGCTAGTTAAGAGATACCCAGGGTTGGATAAGATGGCTGTGTTAGGAATTGCCAAGCAAAGACAAATTTGTTGCATCTGCAGAGAGTAACTTCAAGAATGCCAAGTAAACAGTATCACTCGCAACAGTATCAAATACAAATGCTGCAACCTAGTTTCAGTGTTTGAGGTTCAGTAGTGTCACTTTAAGACAAGGAAATGATGGTTGCTAAAAACAACTTCCTTCCTTCTCTTTATAGAGATTCTTAATGAGATCAAAACCTCAAATGGTTGGGAAGCAGAGGCCTAACTAAAGCATTCAGGCAGCCTGGGTCCCAGACCCCCAATCACTGCCACAGGTCATCTTTTCCAGTATCCTGCCCACTGCTTTAAAGGAATGCAAGTGACAAACTTTAAAAAGCTTCTGAAGGCCCAAAGTCTAAGAAGTGAAGGAAGTTGGCCGGGCACGGTGGCTCAAGCCTGTAATCCCAGCACTTTGGGAGGCCGAGATGGGCGGATCACGAGGTCAGGAAATCAAGACCATCCTGGC